GATGGAGTGGAAAAGAAGTCGTCTACGGCAAAGGAAAAGAAGCTCCAATACCCGATCACTTCTTAGAAGAAGAAGACGATGAAGATAAACCTACCCCTCATCTATTTAGATATGACGCAAAAGCGCGCGATCTAATGGAGAAGTATGGATATGACTTCACACTCGGAGAAGGTCTTTGCTTTGGTCGAGGTCCACGAGTTCCACCTCGAATGGCCTATGTACCGAAGGGAAAACCCGATGATTATTATCGCCACAAAAGAGGTCTTGGTTATGTCTCCTCATCCGACGATGAATGTTGCTGGCAAATCATCGATCAAATTGCTAACAAAGCTAGAAACGGATACTCTTCTGATTCTTCAGCTTGGGATTCCGACACTAGTATCGGTGAAATGTTTAAAAAATTGATGTCAAACATGGTTACGGTCGATCCTGCCACAATAGAGGAAGACGATCAGATGCCGACTTGGGAAGACCCTTGGGTTCATCACCTAAACATGCAGTATGGTGATAGGTTCGAACAAAGAGAACCTCCTACCGAAGATCAAGTACTCCAGGTGAATATGGATAGCGAAGATAATCCGAAGCCTATATTCATTAGCGACAGCCTCCCGTCGGAAGAGAAAAAAGAGTTAATCTCTCTTATCAGGGAATACATCGATGTATTTGCCTAGAATTATGAAGACATGCCAGGGCTCGATCCAAACGTCCTCCGAGAAACCTCAGGGAGCTCAGAGGATTGCAGGGGCGATTGGCTTATATCCGTCGGTTCATTTCGAACCTCTCAGGAAAATGCCAACCATTCTCCAAGCTCGCAAAGAAGGGCGTGTCTTTTGTATGGGATGACGCTTGTCAAAAGGCATTCGAGAGTATTAAAGAATATCTCTCGAAACCTCCTGTACTCGTTGCACCGAAATCGGGCAAACCGTTCTTGATTTATGTTAAGGCGACGAGCCACTCATTAAGTGCATTACTTGCACAAGATGACGATAACGGTCATGAGCAGGCTGTTTATTATTTAAGCCGAACCATGGTAGGCGCTGAATCTCGATATCCTATGATTGAAAGAGAATGTCTCGCCTTGGTGTTTGCTATTCAGAAGATACGGCATTATCTGGTTAGACAGACCATTTATGTTATCTCTAAAGTTAACCCAGTCCGAGTGTTCATGACTCAACCAGCTTCCATGAATTGGCGTTTAGCAAAATGGGCCTTACTCTTATCCCAATATGACTTATATTTTAAACAACAGAAGTCAGTAAAAGGGCAGGCCATCTGTGATCTCCTGGTAGCTAATCCAACTACGGACACCGCCGAGATATATGACGATCTACCCGACGAAGCCTACGAAGTCAACACAACTTCGCACCAACAAGTATGGCATTTGTACTTTGATGGCGCTTCCCGAGCAGCTGTTGTCACAGGTGCTCCTGGAAGTTCTAAGGTCTCCTCCGGGGTTGGAGTGGTCTTAGTTTCCCCAGGAAAACATGTGATGCCTCGCGCCTACTCGCTAACCGAGCCATGCTCGAATAATGTAGCAGAGTATAACGCATTGATTATAGGACTCAATTTCGCTAAGGAGCTGGGGGTTGAGTATCTCGAAGCTTTCGGTGATTCTCAGCTAATAGTCAAGCAAGTCCAAGGAGAATATGAAGTCCGAAGTCAGGATTTAATACCATATCATAAGATGGCAGTGGAAATAGCAGAATCATTTGAAGGATTCTTCATCGAACACGTGCCACGATTACAGAATACATACGCGGATGCGTTAGCAGCTTTAGCCGTATCTTTGGCACAGCCTCCCGGGACGGAACAGTTTGTTACGGTAAGAACTCACCAACTCTTAGTGCCGCTTTACGGTGAAGATGCCAAGGAAGAAGAGGTTCAAGAGGTGCACGCTACTCAAGTCGAGTTCGAACCACGAGATTGGCGTTTCCCCATCATCGACTACGTCTTGCATGGAATCTTACCGGAAGATGTGAAGGATGGAATCTTGCCAGAAGATGTGAAGGAAAGAGAGTCAATCAGACGAAGAGCACCAAGATTCTACTATAATACGGAGAATCGAACGCTATACCGCAGGGGGTACGATGGGTTGCTAGCACGTTGCTTATCAACCAAAGAAGCTGAAGAGGTCCTTAGGGAGGCGCATGAAGGAGAGTGTGGCGCGCACCAACCTGGTCCCAAGCTTTATGACCGCATCAGAAGAATGGGATATTTTTGGCCTTTCATGATGAGTGATGCAATCACATACGCCCGAAAGTGTCACGCATGTCAAGTACATGCGAATTATATGCACCAACCTCCGGAGCATCTGCATCCTTCGGTTACGTCATGGCCGTTCGAGACTTGGGGAATGGACATTGTTGGCCTTATAAATCTCCCATCAGTCAAAGGTGACCGGTTCATCCTGGCAATTACCGATTACTTCTCCAAATAGGCTGAAGCAGTTCCACTCAGAGAAGTTAAAACGAGTAACGTCATTACATTCATCAAGCACCATATCATCTACAGGTATGGTGTTCCAAGACGAATCATACATGACAACGGTCCTCAATTTGTCAGCAACGCCTTCATAAAGTTCTGCGAAAAGTTTAAAATTCAGGATATCTCGTCAACAGCTTATAATCCCACAGCAAATGGATTAGCTGAAGCCTTCAACAAGACTATCATAAAGCTCTTGTCAAAAATCGTGAAGAATAACAAGCGGGATTGGGATGACAAGCTCGGCGCGGCTCTATGGGCCTATCGTACGTATTCACTGGTATACGGATGTGAAGCTGTTCTTCCATTGGAGATTCAAATCCCGTCTCTTCGGATCGCCCTTGTAACCCAGATGACGACCGAAGAACAACATCAGAAACGCCTCGAAGAACTCGAGAGGCTCGCTGAAAAGCGCCTGGAAGCTCAACAGCATATTGAGTTTTACCAAGCTAGAATTTCTCGAGCCTTCGACAAGAAGGTTCGACAACGAAGCTTCAAAGAAGGGGATTTGGTTCTAGCTGAGAGGCGGCCTATGATCCTTAACTCCAAAAAGAAGGGCAAATTTGAACCCAAATGGGAGGGACCATTCGTAGTGGAGACAGTCTACTCGAGTGGCGCATATCGCCTTGTCACCAAGGACGGTGACCGGCTTATGATGCCGATAAATGGCAAGTTTCTGAAAAAATACTATCCTTAGTATCTTCAGGATAATCAATGTATCGGGAAATTCCCAGAAGAGTACCACATGGGGTATTCTTAGGGATAACCCAATCATTGTAGTACTGATGAATAAGAAACCCACATTCGAACTCCGAATGTCAGAATGTTTCTTATTATTATCAAAATTCTCTAACTCTTATGAGTTATTTTTGTGAGATGAGATCCAATCCTCTGATAGGTTAATCTTTCCTCACCAAACCATTCGCTGATCAAATTAAACGACAGTGGATCCACCAACATTTCCATCTGCCCGTCGTTAGCATTTCTCAGACTCAACATGTTAGGTCCTAATCACCTAGCATTAAAGTCTTCCTTTGAGTGATAATACGAGTTGGCACTTTCTTTGCTACCTGTATTCCACTTTCTTTGCTTTCAGGTCAAACCTATAAAAGTTAGGACCAAAGCCAAATTCCTCTCTCGATTCCTTCCATGAACGAGAGGTCCACTTTCAATTCGAACAGTCAAACCTATAAAAGTTAGGATTGTTCCCAATCTCACTTAGTCAAACCTACAGATAGTTAGGACTAAGATTGAGTTATCCCTTTCGATAAACGAAAGACTTCCATCTTTTCTTTTTTCAGCCAAACCTATAAAAGTTAGGGTCGAAATCGGAATTTCCCCTCAATAAATGAGGGACTCTTTT